GAGGTCCTAGGAACAGGAGGTTCCAGACTTTTTGGCGGCGCCGGCGTCGAGCATCCGACTTCCCAGCATCTGGGGATGTCACCATGGCGGGTAAAGGGGGTATCAGACGCTGCTAGCTTTGAGGAGGCTTCAGAGTGCAACCGATAGCCATCTTTGAAACGCCATCCAGCCGAGCAAGGAAAGAGGAGAAACTGGAGGGAGAAATGAACGACAGTCTACACAAATAAGGACGTGCCAGCAACTGGGTGTAGAGGACGCCCTAACCAGGACCATGCAGCTCGCACGAAGCGTGCATGGGGTGTGAAGGCCGAGGCGACATTGTGCGCTGGACCCATCGCAGGGTGCCCTATGTGGCCGCCAATCAGGTTTTGTGGCCAATGGGATGAGGCTCCCAGCTAGAAATCGTGTTGACGTGGGTTGGATCCTCGTGGAGACATTTTCGTGTATTTTTTTGGGGTGCTATAAATGAAGCACTTACCATTCACTTGTTTGGGCTAAAAAAAATGTGTCTTACAGAAGACATTTTGTAAAGATCCGAGTCTTATAATTTATGTGCCATTTAATTAGACCCCCCTAGTTTTTTGGGTGTGATTATGATAAGACCCCCGGGTCTTATATCCGGGGGTTTACGGTATACCGAAATAGGGATGCTTGTGAATGATGGGAAGGGATGCGTGGTGTGCATGTTTCTTTGGTGTGCGCGCGTTTCTTTTCATAGCAGGACGGGAGCTGCTAACGCGTACATGGGCAGCAGAACCAACAGCTGGCAAGGGTTGCGGTGGCACATGCGAGCCAAGCGTGCAGCTGGCAGAGGACCTGTGCAAGAGCTCATGCAACCCCATACCACCAGCGGCTTGTACATACGACTTGGTGCACCCGAGCCTCGTCCTTTGTTATGTTAGCTTGTCCGCTTCTGCTCAAGCACTAGGACTGGGGGGTGTGACCTCATCTTGTACATAGCATCGATCAATCCCTAGTACTAGTTGCTTCATCGTATGTGTTCTGTTTGCATCAATGTAATCTTGTTAAACCAAACACAGGCAGCATGAGCAGGGCAGAAGCCATCTAGTCGGCATTTAGGAGTTAGTGAGGTTTTTTTAGTGAATGGTAGCCTTCAGCATAGAAGACTTGGGGAGGCAGAGAAGAGAATGGGTCACGAGCAGACGCCAGCAACAGAACAGCAGGAGGAGTAACCAGGCAGCAGTACAAGGCGGAGAGATACAACACACAGCCACACGAGCATTTGAGAGTGCAAGGGTAGGCAACGATCAGGAGAGGCGGCAGTTTTCCGGCACACGCTTGCCAAACTCATGCGCCAACTCGAGGAGTTGACGTAGGAAAATCGTCAAGTACGAGCCGAAATGCAACAGCTTCGCAATTTGGCTTCTAACCCCCATGGTCATGCCGCACCAACTCCTAAACCCACACGTCGACTGGCGCGAAAGCACTGCCGAAACGTCGAAGCGCACTCAAGCTGCAGAAGCCCGAGTCGTTCGACCCAAGTCAACGCGGTGCGAACGTGCGGACGTGGCTCTTCATGCTCAACAATTACTTCGCCGCGAGCGGGGTGCAAGAGGCGAACACGCAGCAGCGGATCGAGTACGCCGTGACGCTATTGAGGGGCCCGACCTTGGAGTGGTGGCGCCAACTTACGCTGACAGCTGTTAGAAGAGCTCAGATGGACAGGCATCAACAGGGCGTGGGGCATGCAGCTGCAACTTCGAGCTTAGGGAGTCTAGCTTTGGGTATTACGACGGTCCCGATAATATGGGAAGGATTTGAAGCGGCGCTGAAAAGTAGGTTCGATTTGGTGAACACTTCCGAAGCTGCTAGGAAGCGTCTGCGTCATTTCCGACAGATAGGAAACGTCCAGGAGTACACACGACGGTTCTTGAGCATCTGCAACGAGATAGACGACATCACGGAAGCAGAGATGCGCGATCGCTACCTCGAAGGGTTGAAATCGGACATAGCGGAAATTATAGCGATTCACGGGTTGTCCACCTTCGAGTCGGTAGTCGCAGCAGCAGAACATGTCGATGCAGTACGCAATCGACGAGGTCATGGCAATCGCGATAGGGGATACAGAAGTCCAATCAATGACGCTCAATCGAGGGACGGACCATCGCCCATGGAGATTGGTGCAGTTAACAGTGACGGCTCACAGCGAACGGGTTTTAGGGGGAACTGTCAATACTACAAAAAGCCGGGAGACATGAAGCGGGACTGCCCACAGCTTAAGGAGTGGCAGCAGGGAAACGGAAACCGGCAGTAGATAGCGGGTCGCTAGCTGGTGTAAACGCTTCCGAACCCGCCACGTCTACCTATGTAGAGGAGACAACCTTGGAGCAACCATCTACGCCGAACGAGGTAGACACTGTTGACTGACCAGTCGTGCTTCTAGGGAAGCTTCGCGGTATTCCAGTCAAGATTATCGTAGATAGCGGAGCTAGCCACTCGTTTGTCTCTTCTTCATTAGTCAGTCGTCTCCATCTCAAAGCGGATTCCAGATGCAACTTCAAGGACGCGCGTATGATAGATGGGACGCCTCTTCACATAGGACCGATCATCCACAAGTTGCGCGTAGTGCTAGGACCAATCATAGTTAGGCGTGACTTTGACTCTGCGACGCTGGACGGTTACGACTTCATCTTCGGTAGGGATTGGCTACGGACGGTTAGTACTCAGTTCGATTGGGCTCAGGGAAGCTGCAGCGTCAAGGTAGATGGCGAGTTCCGGGAGCTGCCACAGTAGAGCGACGGGCCACATCATCCACAGCTATCATTAATGCTGTTCGTGTGCGACAGTTAGTGAAGCGAGTGGCACGGATTTTTGCGGTTTTCTTTGAGGAGGTTGAAGTTGAGGAGGGGAAAGGAGGGAGTGCAGCAGTTAGTGAGAAGGCGACTCTTCCTGCTGAGGTGAGTGCACTGTTAGCAGAGTTCGCAGACGTCTTCCCCGACTTGTTGGTTGTAGGGTTACCTCTTAGCCAAGCAGCTGACCGTCGAATAGAGTTGGAGCTGGGGAGCAGGCCAGTAGTGAAGCTGCAGTGGAGGTTGAGTCTAGCAGAGACACAGGAGATGACGCAGCAGGTTAGGCACGAGAACACTACTAGAGCATTGCGATCACCCGCACAACCCCGTGCCCTCCTCCGTAGTCCACTCCCGTTGTGTAGTGACTCTTTCCCCCCCCCCCCCCCCCCCCCCCCCCCCCCCCCTCTCACCCTCCCTGTTTGGGGAGGAATGGCGAGTGAAACAGTTGAAGTTTAAGACATGGGAGTTCTCTATTACGACATGGAATTGTTCAATATCATTCCTACAGTAACGAACTCTTAACGCGAAGATGACTGCAGCGAGGATGGAGGCCAAGCGACACAAACAGTTATCGAAGACAGTTGAAAGGAGGAAGAATTCGAAGTGCAAGCGCGTGAAAAAAGTTCAAACAGTTACCGTGACGCGTACCGTTACCAAAGGGCACGGTTGGTTCTTCCGATTTATATTAGCCCAAAGGGGAATGCACCCCCTCAGAGTACATGGCTAGCTGTGACCATTCGCATTCCACTGTATTCCTATATAAATCCTGTACCGCATTGTATTAGCTACTTCTGTCGATATTCAAATCTCCTCCTTGTGACATGTCAGCATAGACATATAGGTATGCCAATATTTAGCTAGAAAAACTAGCAGTCAGGTAGAGGCCTTCGGAGAGTCACTCAACAACGATGAGAGCTGAACTACATGGAAGGTCACGATCGGTACGAGTGATCGTAGCATTCCTTGTGTACTCTAGCATTTGCGTGTTCACGAGGTAAAACTGCAAGAGTTTCAATAAAATTTTTGTGAGAACAATGATGCAATGGCTATGTCAAAGTTGACAACATCAGAAGCCCAACAACCTAGCATGCAAGCTGGTCGATCAGGGCCTATGATATCAGGGTAAAATACCCTAATTACCCTGATTTTAGGGTTCAACTATATACCCTTCCCTGAAATTTCAGGATGTTTGTAGTGAATGCCCTGTAATTTCAGAGTGTTCTACACCCCTGTGCCCTGAGGCGTCAGGGTGTTTTTTTCCGGTACCCTGACACAGTCACAGTGTGCACATAGAGGGGCCTATAAATGAAATCATTGATTTCCATGATTTTGCGCCGATATCACGCGCGTCGCCCTCGCACCACTCACATTTACGACAAAAGTGCCCACTCAAGACAACTTGTACAGTGGTGCAGCAGTCGTAGCTCCCATGCACCTCTCTGAAACACCGCCGGTTTTACGAAATCAAGGCTCTGCCTTGACGAGGACCACCTTTTTTCAGCACTGCCCTGAGGGCTCAGGGTCCATAAGAATGAATCTAAGGCCATGTGGTCGACCTTCCAGCGCAGCACGAGGGTGGCTTGTGTCGAGAGACTTGCACTGGGGAGGGTTACAAATATGTTAGTCTGGGAGGGTTTGGGCGCACTGACTCGCAATTGGAACAAGCCCTTAAATCTCACTTGTCTAGTGATTGGGATTCTGACATGGTAATAGAGCTGAAAGTCTCGGGTTCGAATCACCGTGTACGCACATGTTGGTCTAGTCACTAGGATTCTGGCAGCTTGCCAGTGCGGCAAGTGGGCGGCGTGCAAATGCAGCTGGAAGGGAGCTGTATTAGTTACTTCTGTCGAGATTCAAATCTTCTTTTGACAGGGTCCGTACCTGTTAGAATGAAAGTGTTGTGTTGACTGAGGTTGGTTGGGGTACATAAATCTAACCCTAAGAGTTGTACCCCCTATGACACACATCACTAAGACTACAACATTTGACACACCCCCATAGTCTAAGTGAGGGGTGTCAAGCAAAACCAAAAGTGTACGGTCACAAGACCAGTCACAAAGAAACAAAGCTCAGGGTGGATCACAACGTCACCACACACTCTGAGCACAAGCAAAAGAGCCACAAGGCTAGTTCAAGAGTTCACAGAGGAATATAAAAAGTGTACAAACAAGGCAAGCAGAGAACTCAAAACTATGCAAGGCGAGAACATGTGTCAACGAGACCTAACTGCACACAACACCTCTGGTGGTCACAAGGCGGAAGGGCCTTGGTGAAGATGTCTGCAGTGTTGGCCTCGGACTCCACAAAGTCGAAGCGAGCCTGTCTGCGCCTCTGCAACTCTCGCAGAAGAAAGTACCTGACGTTAATGTGCTTCACTCTGCTCTCCAGTCGCGGCTCTCGACAGAGGAGAATCGACGCCTTGTTGTCAGTGAACAAGGTCGGCACAGAGCTCGGCCGCTCACCAAGGTCAGTGAGCAAGAACGTCAGCCAGCGGAGCTCTTGTGCAGCCATGGCCCCAGCGTAGATCTCGGCCTCTGCGGTAGAAGTCGAGACCGAGGAGGAACGCGTGGACCTCCACGAAACAGCTCCAGAGCCCAGGCTGAAACAGTACCCCTGAGTAGACCTGTGAGTCTCAGCGTCGTCAGCGTAAGAAGAGTCACAGTGACCAGTAAGTACGACGTCCTGTCTCCCTCCAAGAACCAACCCCACGCCCAATGTCGTCACTAGATACTTCGCCACCCTCACAGCAGCTGTCCAGTGAACAGGACGGTGTCTCCCTGGCGCAACAAAGCGAGCAAGGATGCTGAGAGGGAAGGCGAGGTCCGGGCGAGTACAAGTCATCAGGTACATGAGGCAGCCCACAAGCTCTGCGTAAGGACCACTAGGCTCAAACGGCTCGTCAGGAAAGGGTCCAGTGAGTCTGTGGTAATAGGCAAGAGGTGTGCGCTGTACTGTGGAGTGCTGAAGCTCGAACCGCTGAAGGACCTGCTGCACCATGTGTGACTGTGAGAGTGTAATGGTGCGAGCAGCTCTGTCCCTAATGATCTACAGGCCAAGGTAGTGGCGCAGCTCACCAAGATGGGTGCAGGTGTGTCTCTTCTGCAGTTCGCGCTTCACGTCAGCCAAAGCAACCCTGTCAGCAGTGGCGAAAACCAGGTCGTCGACGTAGACCAGTACAAAGAACGGTGTGGAGCCACGACGAACAAACAGCGACGGGTCGGCAGAAGAAGGCTGGAAACCGAGGTCAGAAAGGATAGAGAGAAGGGTGTCGTGCCACTCACGAGGAGCCTGACGAAGACCGTAGATCGATCGCCTAAGCCTCCATTGGGTCCCAGGAGGGAAAGTGCAAGTGAAGGCAGAGGGACGACGCAACCAGACCTCCTCGTGTAGGCTACCCTGAAGGAAAGCAGTGGAGAAGTCGAGAGAGTGTAACTCGTAGTCTCTCTGTGCTGCTACGTGCAGTAACACCCGAAGAGTAGTCATCTTTGGGGTAGGCGTGAAGGACTGAAAGAAGTCAACTCCCTCGCGCTGACTGAAACCTCTAGCCACGTAGCGCGCCTTGAAGACCGGAGGAGATCCCGGTGGCCGCTTCACCCTGAAGATCCACATGCCATCGACTACGTTCGCCCCAGGTTGGGGAACCTCGTTGACGTAAGTGCCTGTGGATCTGTAGGAGGCCATCTCTGAGTCCATGGCAGCTCTCCACTGAGAGGCCCAAGGCCCTGACACTGCCTCAGCATAAGTGCGAGGATTCGTTATGTCAAGGGCGTTGGGGTCTCCCTCAGGGGCGAGCAGCATGGCACAGAGATGAGGGGAAGCGGCTGCCAGGAACTCTAGCTCAAACTGCCTGTCCTCTAGGGCGTCACAAACTCACCCCGGACGGCCAGAGGACTGGTAGGCGGAGCAGCCACAAGATTGGTGGGGTAGTCAAGGCGGCGAGTAGAGGCAAACTCAGTGACTGCGGCAGTAAGGGCGGAGACAGAGGACGGAGACGCACGAGGGTCGGTAACAAGAGAGGCGAGAACACGAGAGAGAACAGGACGGTACGTGCGGTAGTAGTCAGTGACAGGAGTAGAGAGGGAAGCAGTGAGGGCGGACTCATGAGGAGAAGGAAGTACAGAAGGAGACGAACGAGGCGGACTAGAACGAAACAGGGCAGTACGAAGGTCAGTGAAGGGAACAGGAGACGAGGGACGAGCACGAGGAGAGCGACGAGTAGCCCAAGTGTGCGAAGGGGGAGGGGAAGACAGAGGCAGAGAAAGAGGGAAAACAGCTGGGGAGGGGTCAGGAGGAGGAAGCGGAGGACCAGAGACGGGAGGAGAGGGGGAGGAGGGAGGAGAGGGAGAGCGAGAGGGGAGACCGAGGGCACGAAGACCAAGGACAAGAGGAGGAGGTGGTGGCTGCTGCTGCACCTCCAGCTGCTGCGGCTGCTCCTCCGGCAGTGGCTGCGGCTGCTGCTGCGGCTCCTTCGGCTGCGGCTGCTGCTGCTTCTTCTCCTGCGGCTGCGGCTGCTGCTGCTGCTGCTGCTGCTCCTCCAGCTGCTGTAGCTCCAGCTCTAGGCTCTCTCTCTCCAACTCCAGCTGCTCCTCACGTGCACGGCGAAGACGGGCCTGGGGTACCTGACGTAGTAGGGGACGGACTCGTCGAAACGGACGTCACGGGAGTCAAAGAACCGGTGAAGGGGAGGGTGGTAAAAGGTGAAGTCAGAGGAGTCCTCTGGGAAACCAAGGAAGACACAGGGAACAGCGCGAGGCGAGAGCTTGTCCGCGGAGGTGTCGCGAACAAGAGCCAAGCAACCCCAGACACGAAAACGCGACGCAGCACCAGGGGACCCGGTCCAAAGACTGGTCGGTGAAACCTCTGGCCGAGAGACACGTGGCCAGAGGTTCAGCTGGTGAGCGGCGTACCGAACCGCGTAGGGCCACAGAAAATGGGGGGCATATGCGTGAGTCATGGAGGTGCGCGCGATCTCCATGACCAAGCCTATGCGGCGCTCAGCAACCCTATTTTGATGTGGGGACTCTGGAAGCGTCCACGACTAACGGATGCCCTGCTCGCGACAGAATCCAGCGAGAACGCCGGAGCGAAACTCACCCCCGCGGTCGGAGTGAAGACAGCTGACACGATGACCACGAGTGTCTACAGTGGTAAGCAACCACCGGATCAGCGTAAAAGTCACGTCGGACTTCTTCGCCAAGGGGAACACGGTGGTGTAGTGGGAGTAGTCGTCTATGACCATGAGAAAGAAACTCTCTCGCTCAGGGCCAGGGCGAGAGGCGGGGCCCCAGACGTCCAAGTGGAGAGTCTCGAAGGGCTATGTGGCCGGACGAAGGGAGGAGGAGTGAGGGGTGGCGCGCAGCCGACCCTCGACGCAGGGACCGCAAGGTGGTGCAAGCGAAGGCGGCAGCGACGGCAAGACTCGCGGGAGGCCTAAGACAAGTCGCTGTCTAGACATAGCGCGCAGGCGAGGAATGGACGGGTGCCCCATCCGGTGGTGCCACAAAACGGTGGGGTGGGCAAGCGACCGGCAGGAGCACGACGCAGCAACTGGACAAGACACAGAAACATGACCAGACATAGCTACCTAAGAAGACGTGGCAACCTGGTGAGACGCGGGAACCTGATGGGGGGCAGTGACAGGGGTCGGGGGCAGTAGCTGCTGCTGCTGCTGCTGCTGCGCTGCTACAGCTGCTGCGGCCGCCAGCGGGGGGCAGTGTGAAGGGTGTAGAGACCAGAGCCCAGCTCAGCGGTAAAGGTGGCAAGAGGCGCGTACGAGTCACCATCGACACAAACCGCAGTCTCGCCAGAAGGCTCAATCCACACACCCACGTGCTGACTCACGAGTGGCCTCACGCCCACCAAGTTCCTCGAGAACGAGGGGACGTGGAAGCCCATCAAAGAGCCGGAGGGAACAGCCGGGCACAGAAGCGTAGTAGTGTAGCGAGTAGTGACTGGTCCCGAAGTGGGATCAGCCAGTGCTACAGAGACCGGCGCAGGAAGCGGTGTAAGCGACGTTTGGTCGCGGAAGAAACAGTGCGAAGCTCCGGAGTCCAGAGTGAAAGACAGCGAAGCGTCCTCCGAAGCAGCTCCTGGACTAGTGTCTACACAAGTACCTACAACAGGCACCTCAGCAAGACTAGCACCTAAGCTAACAACACTCAAGTAAACAAAGTCAGAAGCACTAGAGTGAACAACAGCATATACAGCATGAAGAGTTCCTAAGAGATCAACCGACTGAAAGGTCGACATGCCCAATAGAGCGGGGCCGTACGTCTGAACAAGGGGAAGCTTATCAGGGGCAGGGTCGTCAACGTCGTAGGACAAGCAAACCATGTCAGTAAGCTGAGCAAAGCACTGACCCGGTGGGTGGGTGCAGCCACAAGGCGGGCCTCGGCGAGCACCTGTCAGAACGTGATAGGTGCAGGGAGGGTGGACGACACCGCGCTGTAGCTGACGCTGTCCTGACCCCTGCCCCAAAACCTGCTGCTGCCGCTGCTGCTGCGGGGGCTGCTGCGAGGGGAGGGGCTGCTGCTGCTGCTGCTGCTGCTGAGTCAGGTACGACGCCGCTGCTCCACCCCCTGTGGCTGGCAGACCAGTAGGTGGCTGACGAACCCGGGCGTCACCTCCACCAGCTGCAGCAGGGGAGTCACTGGCCGCTGCACGAGGCGCTCCCCTAGCCACTGCACTCCCGCCGCCGTTGCTCGCCACGCCACCCCCACCGCCTCCGCCGCCTCCGCCCGCACCCTGACCGCCCCTCTTGCCACCCCTACCCCGAGACCGTGACGTAACAGCAGCTGTGGTCACGTCAGTAGCGACAGTGGCGAGGGAGGCAGTAAAGGTGGGCAGCTGAGGGACAGTGCACCCGTGAAACAGTGGAGGGGGCACAGCACCAGAGGCGGAGGCTACCGAGCGGAGGTCATTCTTGACGTCCTTGAGGGCCGACTCAAGGACGCCGATAGTGAGCTCGCTAGGGTGCTTCAGGAGAAGCGAATCACAAACCGAGGCAAGGCGGTCAGGGAGGCTAGTGGCGATGAAATAGATAGTAATCGCCATGGGGGGAGGGAGCAGTCCGAGCTGTTCGTCGGTGCAAGCAGCGCGGAAGCTAGAATCGAGCGAGCGCAGGTGAGCGATCAAGTCAGCAGTGCGCTCAAACGACGCGAGGTCAGGAAACAGGAACGGAAGGAACAGGCGACCAAGAGAGACAGTGGTGGGAGTAGCGTAGCGGGCCTTGATCGCAGTCAGGAACTCACTATTGGCCATGCGAACCTGAGTGAAGTGGGCCTCCTCAGACTCAGGGAGGAGGCTGCTAAGGGCGATGCAGGCCGCAGCGTCACGCGACTTCCACTGTCTGCAGGTGTGGGGTCAGCTGCTAAGGGTGCAGGGTTGGCGGGCTCAGGAAGGTCACCGGAAGCATGCGCCCACAAAGTCTTGCCCGCCTGAACCTTACTCTCTAGTAGGCGGCGCGCACGCAGGAGGCAGACCGAGAACTCGAGCGGCCTACCCTCGGCGTCAAAGCGCAGGACCCTAGGGGTCGCCATAGCGGAAGCGAAGAGGTGGAACTGCCGTTGCCAAAGGGTCCGACCAGGGCGCGACAGGCAGAGCGGAAGGCGCGACTAGACAGGAGGGGAGGGGGGGGGGGGGGGGGGGAGACGCAACGGGCAGGGGACAGAACGATAGGCAGCGCGACGCGATGGGTAGGGGACGCGACGGGCACGGGACGGGACGGCAGCGCGACGCGACGGGCAGGGGACGCGACGGGCAGGCTACGGGACGGCAGCGCGACGCGAAGGGCAGGGGACGCAACGTGCTGGGGATGGGACGGCAGAGCGACGCGACGGGCAGGGGACGGGACGGGCAGAGGATGGGACGGGCAGGGGACGCGACGGATAGGGGATGCGATGGGCAGGGGACGCGACGGGCAGGGGACGCGACTCGACGGGGAAGGGACGGGACGACGGGCAGGAAGGCGCGTCGAGCGGGTGACGGGACGGGCGGGTGACGGGCGCGACGCGACACGCAGGGGACGCGACGCGGCGGCGAGGGGACGGGGGCGACGTGCGCTACGGGCGCTACGAGCGTTACAGGGGCTTCGTGACGGAACGGGCAAGCGATAAGGGCGCTACGAGTGCTATGGGAGCTTCGTGACGGAACGGCCAAGCAGGAAGGGCGTTAGAGGACAGACGGCCACTACGGGCGCTACGGGACGAAACAGGCACAACGGGAATGGTAGGCTACATGCAACGGGCGCGAGAGGCTCTAGCGGGATCCCACTGGATCCTAACCTAGGTGATACCATGTTAGAAATGAAACTGTTGTGTTGACTGAGGATGATTGGGGTACATAAACGTAACCCTAAGAGTTATACCCCCTATAACGCACATCACTAAGACTACAGCATTTGACAATACCCGACTTCATTATCAAACCTTCCGCTGCTAGACTATGTGCGATCAACCTGAGACGATCATATAAGGGTCATTTTAGATTGTAATATTATCAATTGATGCTCATATTATACCTTAACGGCCCCAACCGTACGTTGCAGCCATCCAGCACCTGATATAGATAAACGGGATGCACTGAGGCCAAAATTCTTGTCACTTTTTGTCCGGAGCATTCGCACCAAGTCTGCAATCTATATACGGTAATGTTCACAGAACTTCCTTGTTCCCATTTCGTTTCTACATGATTGTAGTAAGTGTAATGTAGGTGTAACGCAATATGCACCCACGATTTCGTCGCGTGGGCTCGTCGGGGACGCACTTCGTCGCCACAGCGGCACCACCAAGCCAGAACCACATACAACCGGACGAACGAACAATCCCCGTCACACTGATTGGTAAGCCTGGTTGCGTGCGACGTGCTCTCCGTCATGGATTGTTGTCAAGTAATCCCAATTTCCGAGTCGCCCTCTCACATTCTCGAGCCGCACAATCCATCTCAACTGAGATTCCAGAAATGCCTTCCCAGCCTCCACCTCATCTCAACCCCCATACTCCCATAAATATCTCCCGTAACTCCTTTCCATCACAGCAATCTCATCCCGGCTTCACACACTAAGCACTTCAAGCGTTTCTGTTTCTTCTCCGAGCAATCCCGCTTGCCTTCGACGACTCGCCATGGCGTACTCGAGAATGTCCGCGCTAGCCTGCGCGCTGCCCCTGGTGGCGCTCGTCCTGACGTCGCTCTGCCTCAACGCTTCCGCCGAGCTCGCCGTCCCCGAGGCCGCCTCCTCCGCACTCGCCGCCGCCATGTCCGGCGATCTGGCTCAGCTCGATGCCACCAATGCTCTCAGCGACGGCGCTGCGACGAGGAGGATTCTCGACGACGACGACGATGACGACGACGAGGACAAGAAGAAGAAGGAGAAGAAGGACAAGAAGAAGGAAGACAAGAAGAAGGAAGACAAGAAGTCGAAGAAGTCTCCTCCCACTCCCTCCCCTTCCACTCCCACCACACCCAATAAGAAGGGCGGCAAGAAGACTCCTCCCACACCCACAACCCCCGCCACTCCTGGCAAGCCCGCCACTCCCGGCAAGCCCGCCACCCCTGGCGCGGGGAAGCCGGCGGTGAAGCTGAGCGGGTCGGACTCGAAGGTGGTGTCGCTGCTGGAGGCGGCGGCGGTGGACGTCGACAGCGCCAAGGCGAAGCTCTCCGTCAAGACGTACGGCAAGAGCCTCACGGACACGGCGGCGGCGCTGCGCAACGCCGCGATTCTGATTCGCACGGGGCAGCGCACGCTGGTGGCGGGGCAGATCGACAACTCGATCGCCACCATCAACGGCGTGTCCGTCATGCTCCCCGCCGGCGGCGCCGACAAGAGCCTGCTCGCTTCCGCGCTCGGCAAGGCGCAGGGCGCCAAGACCGCGTGGAAGGCGTAGCGCGCGCAGTCCGGATGGCGTCGCGGGATCTCCGAATGCCCGCGCAGGCAGGGTGGTTGGATGATGTGAGTGGATAAAGTTTATACAAGGCGCGAAACTAACCGTTGGTTCCTTGCTGATTGACGTAGCAGTTTAGCACCGACCAATAATAACTTGTGCCTGTTGCGGCCAATCGTTGCTTGTAATGTTCTCTTAAAATTGTCAAGTTCAGTTGAATGGATATCGCTGTACGGGATAATATTTGTCTCACCGAGCTCACTTTCCACAACAAAGGGGCTTGACAAGTACCCTTCCTATTTCCATGTTTAGAAACAATGAACTACGCGTGTGCACGCTCTGTTCTTTGTCATTCGCCCACCTCAGATCTGCATTTGCCTACAAGTTTTTTTCACTCGAATTCAGCACAAGGCATCCTTTGCCTTTCGCTCCCTCACGTTTGCATACCCCCACCATCACACTACATTCCTAGAGAGATTATTCTTTCTCAGCTGTACCTGCAACGCCATCGCCCCTGTGCCTTCAGGGCAGGCAGCGAGCGACACGGCAACCAAATACATCGCTGCCTCAGCATTAGCTGTTCCTCCTGGCGTACACAAGGCAGTCGACTGGTTTCTCTCTGGCGCTGCCACAGCTGCTGTGGCTTGCACGTTTGACAAATCAACTACACCCAGAGTCTCCTGGTTCTGTGACGAGGGTTCGCATGTAACAAAAATGAACAGCGTATTTGAGATTTCAGCACATACGTGGAATCAAAGCCAGCTTATATAAGGATTAGACTGAGGACTTCCAAAATCATTGTCAACACCAACCTTGTACAAATCCATTCTCCAATCTCCAAGAAACAGGCACAACAGAAATGTATCCGCTGCTGAAAATCCCGCTGTCTATGACATGCGAAGGTGGAAGCTCAGAGACGCTGGCAGGCAGGCACCACATGCACATGACTGGGAGTGACGAGCCATAGGGGCCGCATGGGAATCTGGGTGGGTGGAATACTCGCATTTCATGCCCCCCCTTCCCCCCTCCCTGCCTCTCCACCCCTATTATGCCTCAGCGTGCAGGCAGCATGGTGGAAGGTGGCTGCTCATGACTGGTGGTGACAAGCCTGGGTGGCATGGGCATGTCCATGTGCACGTGTGCAAGCGGCATGTCCACATCTGACCCACTGCCCCACCTCCACCCCTACTTCGCCTCAGCGTGCAGGCGGCATGGTGGCAGGCGGCTGTGGGCTGTTGGTCATGACCGGGGATGATGATCCCGGGTGGGGCGGCATGGGCATGTGGCCGGGCGGCATGCCGTGCATGGGAACCATGGGCGGGCGGTGGAAGAAGTGTGGGGGCGGCAGCATCACAGGACCTGGTGGTGGGGTGGGGCGTGGGATGGAGAAGAAAAGTGGAGTGAGGTGGGGATGCAGAATGGCGGGTGGTGGAAGAAGAATGGGGGTGGCAACATCACAGGGCGTGGTGGGGAAGCGGGGTGCGAGTAAAAACGAGAAGAAGTTAGAGTTTGGTGTTTAAGAATTCTCAAGAAGCAGCTTGTGGTATTCACATCTGACATTAGGCTTTGGCGAAAATATGGGGCGTGAGGAGGTAAGGAGAGAAGAGGCAGTCGGGCATGGGAGGGGGGCAGGGAGCGAGTGGAAAGAGGAGCAGATATAGCTGGGGATAGATGCAGCTTCAACACACAGCGCATGCTCACCTCGAGGCATCCCCAAGGGGTTCATCTGAGGAGGGCCCCTCTGCTGTGCTGCCCATTTTGTTGCAGGTGCTTTGCTAGGAATTCTCAACAACCACCCACACCATGCTCACCTCGTGGCATCCCCATGGGGTACATTTGAGGGGGACCTTTCTGCTGTACTGCCATTCCCGTCAATGGTGCTCCCTGCTGCTGCGGCTGCTGTTGCTGTTGTGGCTGCTGTTGCTGCCCTGCCTCTTGCTGTTGCTGTCCTTGTTGCTGGTCGGTGCTTGCTTGCTGTGAGCCCTCTTGCTGCTGCTGCTGCTGTTGCTGTGACTGGTCCTGTTGCTGCTGTGACGGCATCATCATGGGAGCAGGCATCATCTGGGGTGGGCAGCATGAGAAACATGGATAAGCAATGGTGAGACACATTAAACACGAGTCAAGTACAAGGTACCTCAGCATTTTGAGTCGACTCAAAGTCAAGTACAAGGTACCTCAGCATTTTGAGTCGACTCAAAAGTCAAGTACAAGGCACCTCAGCCTTTTGAGTCGACTCAAAAGTCAAGTACAAGGTACCTCAGCATTTTGAGTCGACTCAAAAGTCACCATGTACAAGGTACCTCAGCATTTTGAGTCGACTCAAAAGTCAAGTACAAGGTACCTCAGCATTTTGAGTCGACTCAAAAGTCAAGTACAAGGTACCTCAGCATTTTGAGTCGACTCAAAAGTCAAGTACAAGGTACCTCAGCATTTTGAGTCGACTCAAAAGTCAAGTACAAGGTACCTCAGCATTTTGAGTCGACTCAAAAGTCAAGTACAAGGTACCTCAGCCTTTCTCGTGCTGCCTACTTTCCATGCTTCCGAGAATCGCAAATATAAAGCTTCAAATGTATGCCACGCTTCACAAGAAACAAACAATGCCAACAGCAACACGGGCAGAAACAACAACAGGGCAAAAAAACATGCGAAAGCCAGGAGAGTGCGAGGACGAACCTGGGGCATGGGCATGTACATGAGCTGTCCGTGCTGCCCATACATCATGGGCTGGGGAAACCCCTGCGGACTGAACATCATTGGCATGCCGCCCATGCCGCCCGCCATGCCGCCTCCAGGCATTGGCTGGCCACCGCCGTGGGGTGCAGGGAGGTAGGGCCGCATAGGAGGGGGCATGCCGGGCGGCATACCGGGCGGCAGCATTCCTTGGGGTGGCATGCCTTGGCCTGGCATGCCTTGAGGCGGCATGCCCTGGGGTGGCATGGGCATGAAAGCTGCTGATGGCTGGAGATAAGGAGAGAGGGCAGACAGGACAGGAAAATGGAGAAGGTGGCGGGACTCAATTCAATTCAAGGAAGAAAAGAACAACTGAATGGCTTTTGAGAACAAGCGAATGGCTTTTGAGAACAAGTGAATGGCTTTTGAGAACAAGTGAATGGCTTTTGAGAACAACTGAATGGCTTTTGAGAACAACTGAATGGCTTTTGAGAACAACTGAATGGCTTTTGAGAACAACTGAATGGCTTTTGAGACCAAGTGAATGGCTTTTGAGAACAAGTGAATGGCTTTTGAGAACAAGTGAATGGCTTTTGAGAACAAGTGAATGGCTTTTGAGAACAACTGAATGGCTTTTGAGAACAACTGAATGGCTTCTGAGAACAACTGTTCAGTTGACCAACTGAACGGTCCAGTTGTTCCCAAAAGAGCAACTGAACGGAAGGGATGAATGAGCGAAGACGGAGTAGTAAGGAGGAAGCAAGGATGAAGCAAGGAGGAAGCAAGGATGAAGCAAGGAGGAAGCAAGGATGAAGCAAGGATGAAGCAAGGATGAAGCAAGGATGAAGCAAGGATGAAGCAAGGATGAAGCAAGGATGAAGCAAGGATGAAGCAGAGAGCTTTGATATGGGTCAAGGGAACGTGAAACATGACAACAGGAAAATCGTAAGTGGTGGGAGAATTTTGAAGGGCGGCTAGGCTTACCAAGTCAACGAAAAAGAGAGAAAGAAAGGGAAGGGTGAAATGCTGGCTAGGACTCTGGGCAGAGGTAGAAGCAGGATGACAAACCTGCTGCTGCGCCTGCCACTTGCTCATGTCACTCTGATCAGAAAAGCTTCCATCCCCCTGCTCCCCCTGCTGCCCCTGCTGTTGCTGTTGCTGCTGCTGTTGCTGCTGCTGCTGCTGCTGCTGCTGGTGCTGGTGCTGCTGCTGACCGTACTCGCCCCCATCCCCCTGTCGGTGTCTGTGCTGCTTGTCCTGCTGGTGCTGCCGCTGCCGCCGCTGGTGCCCTGACCTTGGCTGGTGGGCCTGCTGTTGCAGCAGCTGCTGCTGCTGCTGCTGCTGCTGGTAGTGATGATTATTATTTTGACTCTGATTCTGATTCTGATTCTGGTTCTGGTTCTGAGTCTGAGTCTGCACCTGTCCTGCTGCCCCTGCGCCCTGCCCCTCACCTTGCCCCTGCATCCCTCCCCCCCCTCCACTCCCCCCAAACTCCCCACTATCACTCCCGCCTTCCCCTTGCTTTCCCCCTTCCTTCCCCCCACTAACCCCTCCGGTAAATCCCTGCTGAGGGAACAACGCCTGCTGCTGCTGTTGCTGCTGCTGGGGCGGCATGTACATGGGCTGGGGAGCCACAGCCAATGGCGGCATGCCACCTGGCACCGAGACAGGGATAGGTATAAGGCCTGCCGCCCCTGCTTGCCCCACTGGGGGAATGGACCCGGGGGAGGGCAGGGGGAGGGGGAGCGCGGAAGCAGGGGGGGTGGGGACGCCAGGGGTGTTGGGGGGAGGGATGGGGGATGACAGAGCGGGGGAGGGGGGAGGAAGAGGGGTGGGGAGGTAGATAGGGGCGGGGAAAGGGATGGGGGCGGCAGAGGCGGAGGGGGGTGCGCCAGGGAGGGGTTGGAAGGTAAAGGGGTGGTCTGGGCGGGGCTGGGGGGGAGGGCGGAGGGGTAGGCGGGGATGAAGGGCGGGGGGAGAGGGGGAGGTGCAGCTGCGGGCATGGAGAAGGTGGGGGTAAAGACCTTGGCGTTGGGGTTGAACTTGAACTCCTGGGGGGGGAGGGGAGGGGGACGGGTGGGGGGGATGGGGAAGGATAGAAGAGGAAGCAGGTAAGTGAGTGATAGAATGTTTTAGAAGCGGGCATGGCGAACGTGGGGGTAAAGACCTTGGCGTTGGGGTTGAACTTGAACTCCTGGGGGGGGAGGGGGACGGGGAGGGGAGGGATGGGTAGGAGAAGAAGGGGAGGGGGTCATTCCAGTCAGCTCAAAATGGCGAAGGTGGGGGTGAAGACCTTTGCGTTGGGGTTGAACTTGAACTCCTGGGGGGGGAGGGGGACGGGGAGGGGAGAGGGGGAAGGGAAGAAGATGGGATAGGAAGCGGGTGAGTGAGTGCGATGGGGGGTGGAAGAGGCGGGTATGGCTGAAAATGGGTGTGAAGACCTTGGCGTTGGGGTTAAACTTGAACTCCTGGAGTGGGGGGGAAGGGGATGGGGAGGGGGAAGGTAAGAGAGAGGGGGTTTGAGGGGCAAACACAGATGGCCTGACCCGACGAGGTGTGTGTGAGAGTCCAAACCTCATGTGTGTGAGAGTCCAAACCTCATGTGTGTGAGAGTCCAAACCTCATGTGTGTGAGAGTCCAAACCTCATGTGTGTGAGAGTCCAAACCTCATGTGTGTGAGAGTCCAAACCTCATGTGTGTGAGAGTCCAAACCTCATGTGTGTGAGAGTCCAAACCTCATGTGTGTGAGAGTCCAAACCTCATGTGTGTGAGAGTCCAAACCTCATATGTGTGAGAGTCCAAACCTCATGTCTGTGAGAGTCCAAACCTCATGTGTGTGGGCCGAATGAGAAAGTATGTGCATGGGCCAAACTGTGCATGGGCCAAGTGCATGGTTGTGTGTGCGCAAGCATGTGGGGAAGTGGGAAAATCTGAGAAAAAGGAAAAAGAGACTGTTGGAAGCTGGGTGGAGAGAGGGATGAACGGACAAGAGAAGGGAGAGGAAAGGGAGGGGAGTGAGACAGGGAGAAAGAGAGAAGGTGAGACGAGAGCACGAGAGAGAGAAGCAAAGGCCAATCACACCTTGGCGTTTGGATTTAGCGTGGATTTCTTCACAGCAGCAGGAGCACCACTTGCAGTAGCAGCAGGAGCATTGCTGCTGCCTGCTGCTCCCTCCTCTGCCACCTTCCCTGCCGTTCCTTCTGCCCCAACCCCGCCAGTACCACCACTTGGCACGTCTGCTGCTGCTTCACCACCTTCCCCTCCTCCTGCTGTCCCCACCCCATCATCTGCTGCCTTCCCTGTGCTCTTTTCCTGTTCGCCTGGCGCCGCTGCTGCCGCCGCTGATGCTTCGGCAGAAGCCGGTTTCGGTGCCAGAGGTTTGGCTGCTGAGGTGGCAGCCTGTGCTGACGTGGCAGGAGCGTCCACGGAATGCGAGTGCGAGCGCGCCAGGTTGGACGGCGACGGGGAGCGGTATGACGTGGCGGGAGCGGCGGCAGAGGAGACAGCAGCGGAGGAGGAGGAGCGGAGGAGTGCCGAGGCTGCAGAGGCTAGGAAGGGCTTGAGGTCTGGGGAGGAGTGGGAGCTCTCGAGGTAGGTGGGGGTGTTGCGACCCGAGGAACGACCTGCATAGGGGCGCAGGGGTGGGCGGGGGAAGGCAAGACGACAGAGACAGCAGAGACGGGGAGGGAGGCTTAAGGGGGTAGAAAAAGCTTGGGAGCTCTCGAGGTAGGTGGGGGTGTTGCGACCGTTGGAGCGACCTGCAGCGAAGCGAAGGAGAGGAGGAAGGGCAGGAGTGGGGAGGCAGAATAGGTCATGAAGCAGTGGAGGCGATGAGGCGGGAGGGGTGACATTGAATGGTGGAAGAAAGAGGAAGGAGGCGATGAGAGGGTGGCTGTTTGGAGGCTGAATGAAGGGTCAGCAGGAGCAGTGGCTGAGGAGGCTGGAAACCAAAAGTGATACACGCTGACGCTGGGCACCAGAATCGAACGAGACTCACATGAAGAGACAGGAGAGCGTGAATCGAATTGCTGAAGATACGATTTGAATTCCGTCAGAAGCAGACGGAGGGTAACCGGCCGGCGATCCAGCAGGAGCAACAGCCAGAGGTAGGTAGTGGGAGGGGAGACACACAGCACAGGGGCGGGCAGTATGGAGGGATCCAGTCAATTGTAAGAATCTTTGAAAAAGTGGCCTTTGAGGTGGCAATAGATGCAATTTTTGAGGCAGGTATAAAATAGAATCTTGCTAGTTCAAAACACTGTAGCTCAAAACCCTAACTCTGAACACTGTAGCTACAAACAATGGAGCTCTGAAGCCTGTAGTTCTAAACTCGGTACCTCACTGCAGTCTGCCTTCACTGTCACCACTTCACTCGTTCATCGCCACATTGTGCCCACCACCATAAATCCCTCTTCCCACCTCCCCATCTCTTCCCCACTCCACCTTTCCCAGCAGCAGGAGTGCATCCTCTCCCCCTCCCCTCCCCTTCCCCCTTCCCCCCTCTCTCCTTTCCCCCTCCCTCCAATACCCCCCTCCCCCAACTTTCCAGCCTTTCCCCCTCCCCCTTGCCCACCCCCCCACCTTGCCCAGCAGGTCGCTGCAGGAGCGCACCCCCTCGGCCTCATCTCGCATGCGCCGGCTCCTCTGCTTGAACTCCTGGAACTCACTGCACAAAGGGGGAGAGGAGGGAGAGGAAGAATGGTACAGATGGGTTTGTACATGCAGCGGGAGCGAAGGGGCTCTTTTGAGTCGACTCGAATGTCACGTCGTCTCGCATGTGCCGGCTCCTCTGCTTGAACTCCTGAAACTTACTGCGAGAGTGGCAGAGGGTTGGGGGGTGGAGTGAGGCGAGGGGGAGGTGGAGTGAGGCGAGGGGGGGGTGGAGTGAGGCGGAGGGGGGGTGGAGTGAGGCGAGGGGGGGGTGGGCAGTGACACAGGGAGGGGTGAGTTGAGGACTTTGCTTTTGAGTTGACAGAAAAGTTGCCTCGTTTCGTATGCGCCAGCTTCTCTGCCTAAACTTTGAAACTCGCTGGAAGGACGGGAGGGGAGGTAGGGGAAAAAGAGAGGAGTAAAATTGGGTCCCTGCTTGAACTCCTAGAACAACTCGCTGCAAGAAGGGAGGAAGAGGGGGGGCGGGAGAGTGTACTTCACTTCACATGCACTGGTTTCTCCATGTGCAGTGGGAGGCGTTTTACTGCGCCTCCCACAGCATGCGCTGGTTTCTCCATTCCATTTGAACCCCTAAAACTCCCTGAAAGGAGGCCGTGAAGGTGGGGCATGGGTGGGGCACGGGTGGGGCACGGGTGGGGCACGGGTGGGGCACGGGTGTGGCACGGGTGGGGCACGGGTGTGGCACGGGTGTGGCACAGGTGTGGCACGGGTGTGGCACGGGTGTGGCACGGGTGTGGCACGGGTGTGGCACGGGTGTGGCACGGGTGGGGCACGGGTGGGGCACGGGTGTGGCACGGGTGTGGCACGGGTGTGGCACACACACGCAATCGGAGAGGTGCAGCCGAGGTTGGCGGGGGAGTGTGCCATTTGCATCCCCCCTCCCCTTACCACATTCTTACACACACAAACAGCCCTTCCCCACCACTCCCTACCACTCCCTGCCCCTCCCCTCCACTTCCCACCACTCCCAACCACTCCCCACCACTCCCTCCCCCTCCTCTCCACTCCCCACCACTCCCCACCACTCCCTCCCACTCCCTCCCACTCCGCACCATTCCCCCCACCGGTACAAGTCATCTGAGAGGTGGGCCACGCTCTGGTGGAGCTTGAGTGCCTGCAAGTTGGCAGGGCCATGTGTTTCTCCCATCTGACTTCCTCTTCTAGTTTACTTGATGCACACAAGCAGCCCTTCCCCACCACTCCCCACCCTTCTCAACCTGCCGATACAAGTCATCTGAGAGGTCCGGCATGCTCTCGTCGAGGTTGAGCGTCTGTAGGTTGGTGGGAGGGAGCGTATGTCACTCCCATCTCCCCTCCCCTTCCCGCATTCTTATGCACACAAGCAACCCTTCCCCACCACACCGCACCCCTCCCCACCTACCGGTACACGTCATCAGATAAGTGCGGCACGCTCTGGTCGAGGTTGAGTGCCTGCAGGTTGGCGGGGGCGTCTGAGAGCAACGGCGACATGAGGGGCGAGCGACGGGATGGACTGCCAGTGCCGTGCACCTGGAACAACCCTCCTGATGCCGCCTAAGGGTGGGAAAAGGGACGGGGGAGAGAGAGAGGGGGAATTGGAGTGGGAGGAGGGGTGGGGAGAGAAGAGCAGGGACGGAGTGAGGAGGGAGTTAGGAGAGGGAAATAGCGGGAAGGCTCTGTCCGAGGTTGAGAGCTTGCAGGTTGGCGGGGGCGTCTGAGAGCAACGGCGACATCAGGGGCGAGCGACGGGAGGGACTGCCAGTGCCATGCACCTGGAAAAGTCCCCCTGATGCTGCCTGGTGAAAGGGGTTGGGGGGGAAAGGGGGGAGAGGGGGGGGGGAACAGGGGAGGAGGAGAGCAGCGGTGACATGCAGGGCGAGCGGCGGGACGGGCTGCCAGTGCCGTGCACCTGGAACAACCCTCCTGAGGCCGCCTGGTGAAGGGGCGGGAAGGGGAGAGGGAAATGGGGGAGGAGAGAGGGAACAGGGGGAGGAGGTGAGCATGGGTGGGGAAGTGCGGGTGCGGGGAATTCGGAGTCGCTTTTGAGAATTCTCAAAAGTGCGGGGAGCGGAGAGAAGGAAGAGAAGTGGAGTGGGGAGAGATGAATGGAGTGGGGAGTTGGGGGAAGGGGAACGGGGTGGGTGAGCAGGGCAATATGATTGGCCAGAAACGAGCAAGGCATCTGCAAAACCTCTGAAGACAGCAGCAAGCAATGGGATGAGTGGAGTGGGGGAGTAGGGGAAGGGGAACAGGCCATGAAGCAATCAGTGTTAGAATTCCTCTCCTCTTGTAACCTGCATATATGCTATAGGATAGGCTAGAGATAAGCACCCAAACTTACTCTGGGTGTACAACCAGGGGTAACCCGGTTTTCAGGTTGGAACCCAACCTTGGTCCAATTATTGGACCCCAAAAGGTTGGGTTGGGTAGAATTATTGGCTCCCTCCAATAATGTTGGCCCAACCCCAACTTGGCCAACATTATTGGACCCCACCAATAATCTCCCAACCCAACTTCTTGGTTGGGGTCCAATAATGCCAACCTAGGTTAGCATCCAACCCCTTTCTCACCTTCAACTATGTATACCCCTGTTCTTCTTGGTACAATCATCCGTTCCAATCCTAAAACTTGTTTCCCACAATCAGACAGGCTTAGGTCCCAAGGAGGGAGGAGGTGAGGGACGGATGAGAGTGGTATAAGTTGACGATGCGGCAGGCAGGGGTGCACTTCCTACTCTCGTTTGCCGTTCCCATTTAGGATGCCGTTCCTCCTTCCTGTTCCTTACTGCCCGATGGCCCCTGTTCCCACACCTTGACGAGGCGGCGGGGGTGCATGCGCAGGCGCGGGTGGGAGGGGATGGAGGGCAGGTCAGTAGCAGAGAGAGCACCACTGGCACCGCTGGCGCCACTGGCAGATGAAGTGGATGATGCTGATGATGACCGCGATGCCCCCACTGCCGCCTTCCCCTCCCTCGCCTCCTTCCCCTCCTTTCCTTTCTTCCCTTCCTTTCCGTCTTTCTCGCCCTCCTTCCTCTCCCCTCTCCCGCCCTCTGCTGCTCCCTTCGTCCCTTCCTCCTTATTTTCCTCGGTTTCACTAATCTCTTGCTTCGGCTTCTCTCCCCTCTCCGTCTCGTCACCGCTGCCACCCGCAGTCGTTTGGGCGGCAGATTCCGTCCGTTTCTCGCCCTCGCCTGCAGCTTCTACGGCGGCGGCTTCTGCCTGCTTCTGGCTTTCGCCTAAAGCGCTTTTGGCAGCGGATTCAGATGAAATACCTGGAGTAGGCAGCAAGGGGGGCGCCTGGGGCTTGGGGGTAGCAGCACGCAGGGAGGATTGCAAAGAGACGCAGCGAGGAGGAGAGGAACATGAAGGGTTGAATCCAGAAGCAGGGATGAGAGAAGAGAAAAGGAGAAAATTGGGCGGGCAGAGGGTGAGGCACATGTTTCACTTTTGAGAATTTTCAGAAGTGATTTCAATACAGAGGGCGAGGCACATGTTTCATATGGCATCTTCACTGGACCTACGCCCATCAACTGCCAAATGTGTTGCAACCACGAATTCACAACTGCACATTCACCAACCGCACATTCACCAACCACACATTCACCAACCGCACATTCACCAACCGCACATTCACCAACCGCACATTCACCAACCGCACATTCACCAGATTCCCCACCAGCAGCAGCACCACGTCCGCCCCCCAATCGCTTCCCCCCACCTGATCCAGACTGGCTTGGCCCCATGGGCGACACACAGACACCACTTGTACCCCAACCCTTCTCTCCCCCACTCCTTCTCCCTCTCGGCCCAACCCCAACCGGCTTACAGTGGAATCCACCTCATCGTCCATCCATCCCGCTGTCCACACTCAACCACCCACCCTTTCTCTCCCCCACCTCCCTCTCCCCTTCGCCCACACCCCCAACCCCAACCGACTTACAGTGCCATGCACGGTGGTGGGGGCAGCATCACCAAATGTCTCATCGTTGGCATCATCCACCTCGTCGTCCATTCCGCTGTCCAGATCAGCGCTGCAGAGCAGAACATGATGGCATGGGTGGTGGTGGTATGGGTGGGTGGGGTGGGGACTGGCAAGGGTGGTCGGTAAGGGAGCAAAGGTGCATGGGTCACCTCATCGTTAGAGTCATCCACCTCGTCGTCCATTCTGCTGTTCAGGTCAGCGCTGCAATACATGAGTGCATGGTGGGTGGGTATGGATGGTATGAGTGCTACGGGTTGTAGGTAAGAGTGTTGAATGCATCACCCACCTCGTCGTCGGCCATGCCACTGTCCTGATAAGGCTGCACTGCAGAGCAGAAAATTATGGGTGGGTGGGGGAGCGTTATGAGTGGTGTGGCGGAAAGGGTGTTAGGTAAAGGTGCATCATCAACCTCATCGCCGATTCCGGAGAACCAACAAGTACTTGGGTTGGGATCGTTCTTGAGAATTCTCAAAAACGATCTACAAGAAGTACTTGGGTTCCTTTCCTCGTCGGTACCATCGCCATCATCATCCCACAGGTCACTCACAGGCTGCCCACAATCACTTCGAATCCATTCACGGAATACACTGGGCTCTCTCTCTCGCTACTCACGCAGAATGACTTACCGAAGAGAACTTGGTCTCCTCGTCAATATCATCATCATCGCCATACCCCACGCACTGTCCACAGCCACTTGTAACTTTAAGTACACTCGACTCGACTTAGCCCTCTCTCTTGCTCCTACTCACGTGGAGCGGATGACCGACGAGTACTTGGTCTCCTCGTCCATATCATCGTCATCATCCCATGCACTATCCGCATGGCCGCCCAGGCCCCCAACAGTGGCAGCAGATGGGTCATCTGAGGAAAGGGCGGCCTTGACTGCCGATGCCAGTGTGCGCGCTGCATTGCGCAGGTGGAAGCCCCGCTCCTGATGGGGGGGGATGTGGGGAGGGCGATGGGGATGAGAGGGAGATGAGAGGGAGAGGAGAGGGAGAGGAGAGGGAGAGGAGAGGGAGAGGAGAGGAAGAGGAGAGGAAGAGGAGAGGAAGAGGAGAGGAAGAGGAGAGGAAGAGGAGAGGAAGAGGAGAGGAAGAGGAGAGGAAGAGGAGAGAAAGAGGAGAGAAGAAGAGAGGAAAGAGAGGAATAGGAGAGAAGAGGAGAGGAAGAGGAGAGGAAGAGGAGAGGAAGAGGAGAGGAAGAGGAGAGGAAGAGGAGAAGAGGAGAGGAGAGGAGAGAGAGGAGAGAGGAGAGGAAGAGGAGAGGCTGATAAGTAAAGAGGAGAGGGAGGAGCCGGAGATGAGAGAGAGGATAGTCTACATGTTCCTGCTCGCGGTGACTCAGTCGTTCGTGAGATTTGCTCAGCATGAGCCTGCAGCTCTCATGAATGCACGCATGCATCTTTGCATGAGTACAAATCGGTGCATAAACCCGCCCTTCCTCCCTCACTCCCCCACCCCAATCCCATCTTCCTCACCTCCGCAGTGTGCATGTTCCGGCTGGGCTGCGACTCAATCTCCCGTGCGATCCGCTCAGCATGCGCCTGCAGCTCCCGGGACGGCCGCACCAGCGGCGTCGTGTAGATAGCCTCGTCGAATGAGGTCTCCACACCGAATAGCTTGCGGTTCGCCTCAAACTGGTCCCACGCCCTGTCAGCGCATGGGGAAGAGGGAAGGAAGAGGGGTGGGTGAGATGATGTGTGGGGGAGGGAAGGGAGGGGGGTTGAGATGATGCGGGGGGGAGGGAGGGGTAGAGGTGTCGTATAAATGGCCTCGGCAAACGACGTCTCCACGCCAAACGGTTTTTGGTTCGCCTCAAACTGGTGCCACGCCCTGCCAGTGAATGTAGGGACGAAGGAGCGGTGGTGAAGAGGTGTCGTGTGGAAGAGTCAATGGGCTTGACAAATGATGCCTCCACTCTGAATAGTTTCCGGTTCATCCCAACCTGGTGCCATGCCCGTTACGTCTAAAAGATCGTTTCCCGATTCACCTCAACCTGGTCCCATGCCCTGCAGCGCACACAAAACAACAGTCCACATGCTCAACTTTTCGCTCTACCGTCTCTCGCCTACGACCTATGATCTATCCCACCTGGAGCTGCTTCTGAAGCTGTCCTCATCCCGACCCATCCCCTCCTCCAGTCCATAACACCCCTCATCGCTCTCCTCTTACCTCTACACTCTCTCTCCACCCCCCTCTCTCTCCTACCTGGAGCTGCTTCTAAAGCTGTCCGCAGCCAGCCCCATCCCCTCCTCCCCTCCGCCATCTACAGTTCACCACTGCAACCAGGCTAGCAGACCTCCACACACACACGACTCCATGCTCATCTCTTCACTCTACCCTCCCCTTTCCCCCCTCCCACCCTCCCATGCCATCCTACCTGGAGCTGCTTCTGAAGCTGTCCTCGTCCAGCCCCATCCCCTCCTCCCCTCCCTCCGGCGCCCACCGCTGCAGCTCGCGCCCCTCCCCCCCTGCACCTGCGCCGCCCCAGCTGCCTCGCACGTTGCTGAGCATGCTGCCGATGCTGCTGTCCGTTCGGATCTCCCCGTTGGCCGCCAGAGATGAGGCCAGCAGGTCCGATCCGAACAGAGGCACGTCCTGTGCGTGAGGAAGGTGGGAGTACGTGACAAAGGGGGTTTGAGAGAGTGGGCATGAGGAAACAGAGAAACAGCTCCCTCCAAGCTTGCATCATGAACCTTTATACAGAAAAACAGGGAACAGAGAGAGCTTGGAAAATCGATTCAGGACAATGAGTTTGAGGAGAGCGAGAGCAGAGCAGCTTAGGAAGTGGGTTTGGCAGATTAGGTAGCCAGTTCGGGAAGAAAATGCAGCTTTGGGTGAGAGGTTGGGGAGAGAGAGAGCAGATCAGGAACGAGAGCTTGCCTTGGCGATCAGCTGCACGAGGTCCGCAGCAGGAACCACCAGCGTTTTCATCGGAGGCTTCCTGGCAGCTTCCCTGACTGCAGGCGTCTCTGTGCTCTGTGGGCCCGTCCCCTGCCGCACCAGCCGCGCCATCCTGAGCACCACACCTGGAGGCATGTGGTTAGGATGGGAGCACGACGAACGAGTGGGTGTGATTGGATGCAATTGGGTGCGATTGGGTATAAGATGAACGAGATCGCACCAGCCGCTCCATCCTGAGCACCACAGCTGGGGACGTATGGTTGGGAACACGAAGAAAGAGTGAGTGCAATCGGATGCGAACGATTGAAATTGGGTACAAGATGAACAAGACTGCACTAGCCACCCCATCCTTGATCTGCAAAGGATTGCATCTGTTGACCACGCGCGCGCCTGACTGGTGGCCCTGACAAGCGAGGAATGAGTCACTCTGTCTGCTTTGCGTGGGAGCGGGTCTGCAAGTGATGGAGAAGGGGGTGACGATAATTGCCTACGTTAATGTTTTTCTCAAGGTTAAGGATCAGGGCGCAGTAACGAAAATTCGAAATGCTCGTGCGGAGCTACCACAAGATACGGTGTCACTGCGCTTCTTGCCGCCGCCCCTTGGTGATGTGACAGTGAGTGACATTGACGTGGCAGCTACCCACGAGGCATTTATGTTGGCTTTCAAGATCAGCGTGCTATCTGCAGTTGAGACACATGCAAGGAGTAAGGGGTGGATGTGCGGTGTTTCATGACGATTCTTCACTTAATTCTAAGTGCTTTACGAGAAAGTCTTGCGAGCACAAAGAACCAAGTCAAGAATCGTCATGAAAGCCCGAATATCCATCCCTTTCTTGCTGGCATGTTTTTCAACAGCAAATGGCACGCTGAGCTAGAAAGCCAACACCAGTACCTCGTAGGCAACTGTCACGTCAATGTCACTCACTATCACATCAAGGGGCGGCGGCAGGAAGTGCAGTGACACCGTATCTTTAGTAGTTCTGCACGAGCATCTCGAATCTCTCTCACTGTGCCCTGATCATTAACATTGCGAACAACAATCAAACTGAGGCAATTATTTTCACCCCCTTTTCCATCACAAGCAGACCCGCTCCCACCCAAAGCAGACAGAGTGACCCATTCCTCGCTTGTCAGAGTCACCAGTCAGGCATGCGTGTGGTCAACAGATGCAAACCTTTGCACGTCAACAAAACAATCGACTTGACCCGCCCTGACCTAACACGATTTGGGCGGGCCAGACGGGTACCGGGTCGGGTCAAGTTGGGTCTCACTGGGCCGAGATTTCAAAAACCCTGGACCGACCCAACCTTCAAGGGGTCGGGTTGACCCGGGGGCGGGTCGGGTACAAAACCTCCTGCTTTCGCCCGAACTCTGCGCATATCAGCGTTTCTGCTTGCGGGTCTGTGCAGATCGGCGATTTCGCCCACCGATGTGCGCAGATCGGCGGTTTCGCCAGCCGAACTGCGCAAATCGGCGATTATGTTGGCATATCTGAGCAGCTAGCCCCATTTGTTGGCCGATCTGCGGGGATCGGGATTTTGCCTGTAATGTACAGAGCTTAGGCACTCCCTCGTCCCCAACGAATGTGTTAAAAAAAAAAAAAAAAAAAAAAAAAAAAAAAAAAAAAAAAAAAAAAAAAAAAAAAAAAAAAAAACTGGTTAACCAATTCGCTACTGCTCACCACTCTTTACCGCACAGATTCTACAATTCCCAGCCCCCCCCTCCTACATTTGACAAAACTCTCAACATTGAGCCTCTGTACATGCTCGACTAATACATGCTTCTATAGCTAAGGTTCGAGAAACTACCATTCTACCGTTCTTAGGATAACCCAGATCGGTTCGATGACGAAGAAATCAAGTCGGGCCTGAATCAGACCTGATTTAGGGCAGTTCAAACCCGACTCAGGGTCGGGTCACTATATTGATCGACTCAGCCCAATTTCAGAAATCGGGTCACGTGACCCGACCCGGCCGGGTAAACCAGCCTGACCCGGCTGGTTCAGCGTTTTAAAAAGTCTGGCCCGACCCGACCGCCCGGGTCCAATGCTCATGCCTACGTATGATGATACTTAGAACTAACTTATGTACATCTGGTTAACTTGAACGTCCAAAGAGAACACATCGAAGACGTTAGCCATCCACGCTTTCCCTGAGAATTCCATCAAAGAGAGAGTGGGTGCAATTGGATGCGAATGATTAAGATTGGGTATAAGATGAACCAGACTGCACTGCACCAGCTGCCCAATCCTGAGCACCACAGCTGGTGGCACGCGTTTCGGAACATGGGATAGGAGGGATGTTGAGTGGAGTTAAGAGCATGGGAGGAGGTTCACTAGTTCACCGAATCTTCCTCGTTAAAAGCATACGTTGACTCACCAAAGTCCTCCTCGTTAGCAGCGTGGAATATGCCAGAGTACGAGTCGCCCTGCACCAGTTGTACCTCCACCGCGTGTCCAATCAGGCAGGCGCTCACCGCCACCATCCATTCCCGCCCCCCCGCGCGCGCTGCCCCCACGCTCGCATCTCCCGCGCTCCCTCCGTTCGCGCTCCCCCCATTCGCACTCTCCCCCGCTCTGTCAAGTGCGCCCCCGCCGTCCCCTTTTCGCGCGCCCTTCCCCGCTTGCACCTGGTCCAGCTGCGCCTGCTGCTGCGCCGGCGGCGGCTGCTGCAGGTGTTGCAGCGGCTGTTGCCACGCGCCGGTCAGCACACCCACCCCTCCCCCGCCGGTGTGCCACGGGTTTCCGCCAGGTCCCCCGCGGGCTCCGCCAGCCCCGCCAACGCCAGCCCCTCTTCCCCAAGCGTTGTCGCTCTTCCCCGGGCCGCCCCGCGCCCACGCTCCCCCGGGAGCTGCGCCGCCAGATCTACCGCCGTCCGCGCTGTCCCCCCATCCCGTGCTTCCCCCGCCGCTTGCTCCTGCCGCTCCTGCCCCCCCGGACGGGGGAGGAGCGGCGACGGCGGAGCGCCAGCTGGGCTGGTCGGAGCGGGAGGGTGCAAGGGGGGAGTCGCGGGAACCTGAGGGGGACCGACCGTATCTGCCGCTCTTGCCGGCCGTAGCTGACTGATGCATTGAGAGATTCTCGAGTGGTTGCGCTACAGAGATGTGCAGAGCATGTGAAAGCTTCTAAAAGAGGTGAGCCTAACACTAAGAAGCACGAATGGGAAGATTTCTGAGACGGAGGGATAAGGTCCTGCGTGGATGCTGGTAGTGGAAAGTCTATTTACGAACGAAGATCACCGCACTAGATCCGGCGCGGGTATTTTTGCTTGTCGTTGTTCCGGATACGTCAGAGCCTGTCTGCCTAACAGGAGTTACTCCCTGAATTGTACTTGAAACTGGGAAATTTAGTCCGTACTAGGCGATCAAACCCTAAATCCGGAAAGAAACAGGTGATTCCATGCAAGCTACTGGTGCATGTGGCGGAGTGATCAGCTGGAAAAGTGGGAAAGGAATCCAACAACCACCTGCTCGAGCAAAATTCCCCACAACCGGCCAGACAATGATGGCTCCACTAGACCAACCTTACAAAACCCTTTCTAACCGTTTTTGTTTGCAAAGAAACATCTGTGCCATCTTACCTAACCGCATTAGTGAATTATGAGCAAAACAGCGACCTCGTGGTTGTGGGGTGCAGCCGTCAAGGCAATCCCAAGGGACGGGGCTACGTCAGGCCAGGTCCACCTGGGGTCGCAGTCTCGCAGAAGCCAACCGCGTGAGCTCGCGCCAATCTCAACGTTGCTTGGGCACGTTGAAACGATAGTGTACTTACCGCTTACCGCTATTTGATTCGCTCACCGCTTACCTCTAGTTGTTTAACATGCTATGATTGCAGATACTCTGATTTGCAATAACAAATCACCTGAATAATGAAATCTCATATTTACGGCCGGCTAGAAAGCATATGCTAATATCTGAATTTATGCAAGTGCAGCATCAATGATGGCTTTGGTTTCTGATTGGTGGATGGCAAAGCTACCAGTGGCAGGAGAGGCAGAGGGGGCACGGCCAACAAAACGGATGGGCGTAGGTGCTGACGTGGCGGGGTGATCTGGACAAAGGCTGTGCAGTATCGTGGCAACACGTGGCCTGATGTACGGCCAAGCTCCCATGTTCTTGGGTTCCTCCTGTAACGATTGTAACAGAAAGAGCGTGGTGCATATGAAATATGGCACATGAAACATGCGAATAAAAAAATAACGAGCGTGAGCACTTGGGATAAACTTGCATTTCACCCACAAGAGTGAACCACTGGAATGGCTTGTATGACCCTCCAGCAAAACGAGTGTGAGCATTCGCCTGCACCCACACGAGTGTGAGCATTCACATTGGGGCAGATAGGGTATGGGGGAGAGAGGGGGCACTCACCTGTGCCCACACGAGTTCTGCCGCGGAGTGGCTGTTGATGATCCGGGCTACATGGTCCACAGCCATGGGCGCCAGCTGCTCTATGCGCATCAGCCCCACATCCCACTGCTTCCTCGCCCGCCTTGCATGCGCCAGCGAGTAGTAGATCTGATGTGGTGGTGGCAGGGAGGGAGGTCTGCACACATGGGTGCGGCGAGTAGAAGGTCTGCTGTTGTGGCATGGGTGGCATGGGTGGCATGGGTGGCATGGGTGGCAGGAAGGTGGAGAGCAAAACATGTGCGAGCACCCACCTTCCCCGAGCACCCACCTTCCCCGAGCACCCACCTTCCCCGAGCACCCACCTTCCCCGAGCACCCACCTTCCCCGAGCACTCACCTTCCCCGAGCACCCACCTTCCCCGAGCACCCACCTTCCCCGAGCACTCACCTTTCCTGAGCACAGCACGAGTCGTTTCATCTTGCTGGGCGGCAGCAGCTTGTCAGCATGCAGGTGCCGCATGTTGTCTCCTATGTCTCCATCTGCTATCACTGGCCTGGCAGGGACGCATTCCACAGAGGGGTGAAGTACTATGTCCTTCTAAAAGCATTCCTCAGCGGGGGGTGGAGGGAAGCACGTTTAGAGACGTCTCAAAACAGAGGGGAGAGGAAGGGAAGCACGTTTAGAGACGTCTCAAAACAGAGGGGAGAGGAAGGGAAGCACGTTTAGAGACGTCTCAAAACAGAGGGGAGAGGAAGGGAAGCACGTTTAGAGACGTCTCAAAACAGAGGGGAGAGGAAGGGAAGCACGTTTAGAGACGTCTCAAAACAGGGGAGAGGAAGGGAAGCACGTTTAGAGACGTCTCAAAACAGAGGGGAGAGGAAGGGAAGCACGTTTAGAGACGTCTCAAAACAGAGGGGAGAGGAAGGGAAGCACGTTTAGAGACGTCTCAAAACAGAGGGGAGAGGAAGGGAAGCACGTTTAGAGACGTCTCAAAACAGAGGGGAGAGGAAGGGAAGCACGTTTAGAGACGTCTCAAAACAGAGGGGAGAGGAAGGGAAGCACGTTTAGAGACGTCTCAAAACAGAGGGGAGAGGAAGGGAAGCACGTTTAGAGACGTCTCAAAACAGAGGGGAGAGGAAGGGAAGCACGTTTAGAGACGTCTCAAAACAGAGGGGAGAGGAAGGGAAGCACGTTTAGAGACGTCTCAAAACAGAGGGGAGAGGAAGGGAAGCACGTTTATAGACGTCTCAAAACAGAGGGGAGAGGAAGGGAAGCACGTTTAGAGACGTCTCATGGGAGATGGCAGGTGGCAGGGGAGAGGAAGGGAAGCACACAACCCATGCATTGCCCATGCCCCCCGTTGTTGCCTATGTCTTTAAAACTGCCCTATAGACATAACGGTTTCAATGAAAGGAAAGAAGGCTGAGAGTCATACTGTGCATGTGAATGGGGGGAGGTGGGGGGGAGAAGGGGGGGAGGTTTCACAAGAAGCACGAGAGGGGAAAGAGAGCTCACTGGAAGAATGTGCTGGGCTCACTGGAAGGTGGGGGGAAGCAGGGCTCACTCACTGGAAGGTGGGGGGAAGCAGGGCTCACTCACTGGAAGGTGGGGGGAAGCAGGGCTCACTCACTGGAAGGTGGGGGGAAGCAGGGCTCACTCACTGGAAGAATGTGCTGGATGTGAAATGGCTGAGAGGTGACGCGCAGGGCTTGTGGTGGAGCAGGTACTGCTTGGTCAGAAGGCGGGGGAGGAACAGGGGTGAAACGGGAGGACAGAGAAACAAGCTGCAAACCTGAGCGGGAGTGATTGATTGGGTAATGGCACTCTTGTGTCGCATGTACACTTAGAATGGGCTGGAGAAGGGGACTCAGGGAAAACTTTTAACATGATCTGCTGAAGTCTGCTATTGGTGGGTTGGAGAGTTGGAATGTTGTGTCTTTGGCACAGCTCACGCAGCCTCTTGTACACTAAAACAGTCCAAGACAGTAAGGGCGTGAAGGTGAAGTACAGTAGGGGCGTGAGCAGCAAGGGGCGTTACCTTGGGGGACATGACAACAAGGGGCTTGGAGAAATGCCGATTGACCTGCGCAAGGGAGAGAGGTGACCAACAGATGGGTGCACATGGGTACAGATGGGTGGATGTGTAGAGATAAGCACTAGGAGATGAGGATGGTAGTGGAATGCACATAAAGACATGATGTCATGATGATACATGTCAGCACACAGCAGTGGAGGGCACCTGAAAGGAAGAGAGCACCTGAGAGCAGAGAGGGCACCTGACAGCAGAGAGAGCACCTGACAGCAGCGAGAGCACCTGACAGCAGCGAGGGCACCTGACAGCAGAGAGGGCACCTGAGAGCAGAGAGGGCACCTGACAGCAGAGAGAGCACCTGACAGCAGCGAGAGCACCTGACAGCAGAGAGAGCACCTGACAGCAGCCAGAGCACCTGACAGCAGCGAGGGCACCTGACAGCAGAGAGGGCACCTGACAGCAGAGAGGGGACCTGAAAGCAGAGAGGGGACCTGAAAGCAGTGGAGGGCACCTGAAAGCAGTGGAGGGCACCTGACAGCAGAGAGGGCACCTGACAGCAGAGAGGGCACCTGGCAGTGAAGAGAAGAAAGCACCTGGCAGGTGACGGCACCCACCTGGCGGCGGAGGGCGTGGAAGTAGTTGGCCGGGGTGGTGAGGTTGACGACACACACGTTGTTGTCCCTCTGTGCGTTGCGCCTCATCCACCGCACCATGAATGACTCCCAGTCCGCCCTGGTGGGACACGTACGGCACATGGCACATGTATGATGCATGCATGGCGGTGAGTAAGAAATGTATAATCACAGCAGAATTTAGGTTGCATCCACCTTACCGTGAATGACTCCCAGTCCGCCCTGGTGGGACACGCACGGCACATGGCACATGGCATATGTATCATGCATGCATGGCGTTGAGTAAGAGACCTATAATCACAGCGGAAATCAGGTTGCATCCAAAGCACCATGAGCGCCTCCCAGTCCGCCCTGGAGCCACACGTGTGATGTGGTCACACATGGCCGATGTATGTACGCATGTATGTAGGCACGTTACGCACCATGAATGCCTCCCACTGACCCAGATTTGATACCACAAACGTGACCGCACAAGCCACATGTATGGATGCATGTGGTAGCATGCATGTGGTAGCATGCATGTGAATGCATGTGGATGCATGTGGTAGCATGCATGTGGACACATGTGGACGCACGTGGTAGCATTAAAGTCTAGAATGAATCAAGTTCCAGCCTCCGCACAAGTCCACTGCAGCAGGTGGGTTGATGACACACGCACGCACGCATGCGCACACCTTCGCTTCCTTCCATGGGGCCTACTGAAGAGCTCTTCTTTACTCAACCTATCCATTCACCAAATTGTTGGCTCACTTGGAGATTTGATTTGATTCGTCAATGTGCATCTGGTGGGCGAGCGCCGTCACGTAGTCGTGGCCCAGCCCGTACTGCGATTGCATGAACTCCAGCAAATCAGAGAGTGACACGTGGCCCTTGTTATCTGCCATGGATTGGGGTTGGCGGGGTTGAAAAAAAAAAAATCATCACTAACAGTCCTTCTAATTCCCTCTTCACCTTACCTCCCCTCCCCACCCCACCTTGCAATTGCCCTCCCCTCCTCACAACTGGCCTCCTCCCCTAACAGCTGTGCTCCTGCCTCAACTTCCCTCTCTACCAAACACCCAGTTGGTAAATCTTGTTGCCTTTCTGTCCTCCCAAGATTATCTTGCTCTTCACTTGCTCCATTCACCTACGCACGCAATTCAGAAGTACTTTTGAGTCGACTCAAAAGCTAGCTCGTGAAGCCAATTCAGTAGTACGTTCCAATGATCTCCACGCAAGCCCTTCACCTCTCCATCCAAGCACTGCCGCCCACTCACCCCGGTCGGCTATCGTGAACCCCGCCTCAATCTGGGCGGCCAAGTGTGGACTGTAGCCGGGGAGATGGTCGGCATCGTCGTTCACCAGCTACTTGGTTAGGGCAGGGCAGGTGGGGGAGAAGAAATGGGGGAGAGGAGGAAGTGAGGGGGGAGGCTTTTGAGTCGACTCAAAAGGCCAAGTGTGGACTATAGCCGGGGAGATGGTCGGCATCGTCGTTCACCAGCTGGTTGGTTGGGAGCAGGTGGGGGGAACGGAATGGATGGGGGAAGGAATGGATGGGGGAAGGAATGGATGGGGGAAAGAATGGGGGAGTGGAGGAAATGGGGGGTAGGGGAAGAGAATGAGAGAGGGGAGGAAATGCAGGAGGGGGGGGGGAATGGAAAAGGAGAAGGGGAGGAAATGAGATGGAGGTGGGCAATCAGAGGAGGGAACATGTTCATATGAGTGAAGGGGAGGCAGTGAATGGAAAGAGGGGAACTGGGGGGTAGCGGTAGGTGAAGGGATGGAATGGAAGGTGTCTAGCTGATTGTGTAGCCGATTGTCAAGGTGGGCAGACAGCAAGGCATGAGTGACGGACCATGGCCATCCCACTGAGACAACATGAAAGCCTCACCTCAAGGACGGGCTCACCTGAAGGACGGGCTCACCTGAAGGACGGGCTCACCTGAAGGACCCACCCAAAAAAACCCATTTGAGGCCCACCTGAAGGGCCCACCTGAAGGGCCCACCTGAAGGGCCCACCTGAAGGGCCCACCTGAAGGGCCCACCTGAAGGGCCCACCTGAAGGGCCCACCTGAAGGGCCCACCTGAAGGGCCCACCACCCATCTGTAGGTACCTCTCAAGCCCCACAATGGCAACCCACCTGCAGGTACCTCTCAAGCCCCACAATAGCAACCCACCTGCAGGTACCTCTCGAGGCGGGCGGAGGAGTGTTCGGGCCCCTGGCCGTCAAAGCCATGCGGCAGCAGCAGCACGAGGCCCGTGGGGGTCATCCACTTGTCCTCCCCGCTCACTATGAAGTTGTCTATTATTGCTTGCGCGTTGTTCGCGAAATCACCAAACTGATGGTCGAGAAGGGGGTTGTGATTTGTGGAGGGAGGGCGAGGAGAGGGAGAGGAGAGGGAGGGGAGAGGGAGGGGAGAAAGGAGGCAGAGGAGAGGGGAAGGAGTGGAGGGTTATGAGGCACTCTGATGCTAGCTTGAGAGCCTGTGAGGGCAGTCGGGGCAGCAGCAGCACGAGGCCCGTGGGTGTCATCCGCTCGTCCTCCCCGCTCACTATGAAGTTTTCTATTATCGCCTGCGCGTTGTTCGCGAAATCACCAAACTGCCGGCGGCGGAGAGAAGGGGGTGGGCGAGAGGGGAGGGGGGGGGGGGAGATTCGCAGTGGGGGGAGGGAGAAGAGAGGGAAGAGAAGGGATGGAGAAGGGGTTAAAAAAGGGAGAGGAGAGGGAGATTAGAGAGAGAGGAAAGGGAAAGTAGAGGCTTGTACCCTGTAGAGGGGTGTATATTCATAGACGGACTAATCAAGGAGAGGGAGAGTAGAGGACAAGAAGAAGGATGGCTGGTGGCATACCACCTGAGCCTCCCAGCACCGCACGGCACACAGCACACGAGTCGGGCCCGCACGGCACACAGCACCTGGACGGCACGTCAGCGGGCCTCCCAACCCACCTGCATGTCCCAGCAGACGAGGGCATTTTCGTTCTCCAGGCTGAAGCCAAGCCGTACTCAAAGCTCAGCACTGCATAGCACACTGGCACACCAGTGGCGGACTCAAAGCCCAACCCAGCACGGCACATTGGCACACACACCAGACCAGTCGCCTTCCTAACCCACCTGCGCCTCCCAGCAGACGAGGGCGTTTTCGTTCTCCAGGCTGAAGCCGTACTCAAAGCCCAGCACTGCTGCCTCGGACAAGCTCGAGTTGCACACCATGAACCGCTCCTGCCCTGCTGCTACATGCTGCAGCGGGGTGTACCTGCAGTGAGTCATGAAGTGAAGCGCACATTAAGGGCAGGCATAACAGCAGCTTCCAACAGGCTCGAGTCGAGTTGCACACCATAAACCGCTCCAAATCACATCACACTCACCGCTGGCAGTGGTTGAAGGTGCTCCATGAGTGGGTACCCACATATACGAACATGCACCACATCACATCACACCGAATCACATCACACCGAATCACATCACACCGAATCACATCACACCGAATCACATCACACCGAATCACATCACACCGAATCACATCACACCGAATCACATCACACCGAATCACATCACACCGAATCACATCACACCGAATCACATCACACCGAATCACATCACACCGAATCACATCACACCGAATCACATCACACCGAATCACATCACACCGAATCACATCACACCGAATCACATCACACCGAATCACATCACACCGAATCACATCACACCGAATCACATCACACCGAATCACATCACACCGAATCACATCACACCGAATCACATCACACCGAATCACATCACACCGAATCACATCACACCGAATCACATCACACCGAATCACATCACACCGAATCACATCACACCGAATCACATCACACCGAATCACATCACACCGAATCACATCACACCGAATCACATCACACCGAATCACATCACACCGAATCACATCACACCGAATCACATCACACCGAATCACATCACACCGAATCACATCACACCGAATCACATCACACCGAATCACATCACACCGAATCACATCACACCGAATCACATCACACCGAATCACATCACACCGAATCACATCACACCGAATCACATCACACCGAATCACATCACACCGAATCACATCACACCGAATCACATCACACCGAATCACATCACACCGAATCACATCACACCGAATCACATCACACCGAATCACATCACACCGAATCACATCACACCGAATCACATCACACCGAATCACATCACACCGAATCACATCACACCGAATCACATCACACCGAATCACATCACACCGAATCACATCACACCGAATCACATCACACCGAATCACATCACACCGAATCACATCACACTCACCGCTGCCCCGTGGCCTGGTCATGCATGACAGCGTGGCGCTGGTTGAAGGTGCCCCGCTCACAGTCCTGCCCACTCAGCCGCACCGCATGGGTGGGGTTGCTGTCTGCTGTCTGGTTCAGAGCGGGGTCAAACGGTAGAAGAAGCGAGCTGGAGGGTGGGTGGTGGGGCGGGTAAGGGCAAGAGGATGGGGTGGTGGGGCGGGTGGATGGGTGAAATTGGGCGGGAAGCTCTGAAGGTATGTTGGAATATAAGCGTACAGCAGTAGATGGAATGGGTTTCAATGTGTAGATTAGATCTGAAACTCACCATTCGATCTCCCACATGTACCTGAGAACTTCGAAGCCAGATCTCCGCTTGCCTAGGCCATGGATTTGCATTTCGACTTCGGCGAAATGCCCATCAAGAGAATCCGCATCTTTTCCAAGTTTTTTTTTCCGGGCAGCCCTATTTTTTTTTTATTGCATATTGCGTGTTTCTAGTGTATAGCGCATAGCGTATACATGCAAGCGCTAAACGCAAAGGGGTCTGGGGCATATATCCCAACTTAAGAGAGAAGTAGAAACATGGGGCTAAACCATAGCACACGTTCGAGTCGAACAGTTTTTGTAAGAAAAGAAAGACTGCAGTTCAGTACTTTGCTCAGCCCTAGTAGATGGTGGGTGGGTGCCTAAAATACCCAACAAAATACTCAACCCAAAACGTGACACGTCCCGTCTAACAACCCACAGAAAAGGCAAGATCCACCTTTACTGGCCTTCGCCAGTGAACGCCTTTACCAGAGTCCTGTTGATGCCTCCCCATTCAATCAGTCAATGCCTTTGCCAGTCAATGCCTTCACCAGTCAACGCCTTTCCCAGTTGTGAAATCTCTCACCAGTGACACACAAGCATACCCGAAGGCGAGGGCCTCTGCCATGGCCCAGTCGATGCCTTCCCCAGTTGCCATCATCCTGCGCCGGTTCTCCAGCAGCGATGCCACCTGGCAGTGCGTCCGGGCGGGGCGAGGAGGGAGGGGAGGAAAGAGGAGGGAGGGGGGGAAAGACGAGGGAGGCAAGGGAGGAGGGGAAGGCGATGACGTGGAGCGAGGTAGGGGATCAGCCAGTGGCCACTGTCCAGTTTTTGAGTCGACTTCAAAACAGGCCATTATCTAGTGGCATTTGCTCGAAGGGATGGCGGCAATTGATGGCGGGTGTGCGGGCATGACAGGACAGGGCATGACTGTAAATTAAGGATGAACTTTGAAGGGGGGAAAAAGTAGGCAAGTGATGCTGTGTGATTGGTTTCCGCAGCGGTGTGAGCGATGCACGATGCTGTTCGATATTGGGGGGTTGATTACAGTTGTGTGTCAGAGATTTGACGGTTGACGACACGTGGTTCACACGCATGCATGCATACAGCAGTGAAGCTTTACATTTCAGAGTTCATTTAAAAAAAAAGGCCCGCTATGGTACCTGAGGGTGCAAGGTGAAATCCGGTGGTATAGTGCAAAGAGCATCGCCCTGTGATGCATGGGATGGGTTTAAACATGTGTGGCCAAGGCAACATAGAAGCATGTGAGGTCATGACAGCATGGGCATGTGAAATCACGTGGCCTGAGGAATATGTGGAGAGTTATGAGACGTCTCAAAACACTTCTTCATGAACATGTGTGGCCAAGAAATCATGGAAGCATGTGAGGCCGTGACAGAACGGGCATGTGAAATCACGTGCCCTGAGGGATATGTGGAGAGAAACGGACATGGCAAAGAAAGATTTGAGCAAACAGGAAGAGCAGCTAGGGCAAAGAGAGCTTTCAAACTTCATGCCAGTAAGGATTTGTAGACCCTTGAAGGCACATGAGTGGCTTGCCTTGCGGCACACGTCCCTTCACCACAAGTGCCCCAACAGCCCAGCGCAGCTATACAAATACAATCCACCAGCCAGCCCCAAGCTCCCAAGTTTCCACGTTCACCTCTCCACCGCCATTACCTGCCCCAGATACACCCACACCGTTTCCCCCCTTCCTCCCCCTTGAGTGAGCATCCATTCCGCGTCACCTCAGACCCTTCCCCCTTCCCCTTCCACCATCTGCCCGCGCCCCATCACCATCACATCACCCCCTCCGCCCTCTCACCACGCGCTGCAGGGTCTTCACGGGAAGGCCAGTGGGCTGCACCTTGCGCTGACTCACCAGTGACCCAAGCGCCTCCCCTGCCATGCCATGCCATGATCATCAGACTGACTGACAAGCCATGAGATGCTGTATGGCAGACTGACAGCACACAGATATGCCATGACTATTCTGTTCCCTTACCAACATGCCTGTTTTCCATAAATATTCCACATGATAATGCCAGCTCTCGAAAATTATTGCCAGCTGTACAGACGAAATGCTGGCTGGCAGTTGCGCCTTACCTTGCCAGTTGGCGGCCAGCCAATCCTGTGGCGACACCTGTTGCTTGCTGGTGTTCTCAAACGCACGCTCAAACTCCGCCTCCACGTCAGCCTGCCAGCTGGCGATCTCCTGATGGGGAAAAGGATGGATTGAGAAAAGATGCAGTGTGTGACGCGCACAGCCATCATTGTTGATGTGTGTGTGCATGGATGACATGCATATGTATGGAAGTGGCACGTGCACGCACATGCACATGCACATGCAATAGCATGGTGTGTGTGAGAACTACTGATTTCGATTTCCACACACAACTCTGGTGCACCTGCTTCATCACACCAGCACTCACCACTGTTCTGACCCATTAGTTGTTCAACACTGCGACGCACACTTGTGGTCAGCTGTTGCCAACCTCTCGCTCACCTCCACAGTTACCACATCCACAGTTACCACCTCCTCTGCCATGAGCCGAGCGGCATAGAGCCGGAGGCACGGCAGGTGGGCGTGTACCGGCAGTGCAGCAGCACTCATATCTGGTGTAGCTACCACGTTCGCATACCGCACTGTTGCACGCAGGGCAAGGCACAAGGCGCATCCGAAAGACACAACACTCCTTGCACTCACCTCTGCTGTAACCACCTCCTCCGCCATGAGCCGTGCGGCGTAGAGCTGCAGGCAAGGCGGGTGGGCGTCCACTAGAGAGTACATCAGTGGCTGCGTCACCCGTGGGTCGTCCTGTGGAGAGGGTGAGGGGGGGAGGCAGAGAGAAGAACTGGCTTACATTGGTGTGTGCCTGTGTTAATGGGAGGGTGGGTGGGGGTGTCTACCACAGAGTGCATCAGTGGCTGTGTGTGTGTCAGCCACGGGTCGCCCAGCGACGAGCGAGGGTAACAGACCACAAGAGGGAGTACATCAGTGGCTTCGTTAGCTACAGGGTGAACAAGAGGATGACTTTCGTTGATGCTGTGAGTGTGTGTGTTGGAAGAGGGAAGGATAATTGTCTGTGCATTTGTTTTTAGTATGGAGGGCTTGCGCGAGGTAATTCAAGCATTAAGCTGATTGTTTGGGTGGATTGAGCGGGCCTGGATTGAGCTTAAGGCTGTGAATTATTATTTGGTATGGAAGGCCCCGCCGTGGTGTTGGCTCGTCAATAACTGCGTACGAATGCATGCATGCATGCGTGCGTATACCACATTGCAGGTACCAGTTGCTCTGCTCATGCACGCGCTCAAGTGGTCCCATGCTTGCACACTCACATGCTGACATGCTCCCATGCGCCCATGCGCCCATGCTCCCATGCTCCCATGCTCCCTTGCTTCCACGTGCATATGCTGACATTGCACGTGCACTCTAGCATTCCCACCTGCTCGTTGTGGCCATGGCGTCTGTAGCACACGAGGTCCACCACCACATCCTTGCCGAATGTCTGCTCTCCATGCATATGTCACATGATGCATCATGCATGCACAATCAAGCCACATGATCCACCATAATGCACAAGCCATGTGACGCATCATGCATGCACGTGCCATGCCACATGATGCATCATGCATGTACATGCCACATGATGTATGCATATGCCACATGATGCATGCACATGGGTCACACAGATTATGGATGTACGCCATATTGCATACAGATTGCATGGGCTACCTAACACGTTCAATATCCAAATGGCATATAGCACATGGCATGTCGCACATGGGAACTCATGGCAATCAGCGAATGGCATGAACGGAGTGGGTATTACATAATGGTCTGGTCTGGTCACATTAACGATGCAAAACACACACTCCTGCAGCACACACACTCCTGCAGCGCACACACTCCTGCAGCACACACACTCCTGCAGCACACACACTCCTGCAGCACACACACTCCTGCAGCACACACACTCCTGCAGAACACACACTCCTGCAGCACACACACTCCTGCAGCACACACACTCCTGCAGCACACACACTCCTGCAGCACACACACTTCTGCAGCACACACACTCCTGCAGCACACACACTCCTGCAGCACACACACTCCTGCAGCACACACACTCCTGCAGCGCACACACTCCTCCTGACCTGCAACACACTCGTGCAATGCAGCACTTAGCCCTGTGTACCTGGCGCCGGCCACTCGTGCAACACAGCACTTAGCCCTGTGTACCTGGCGCCGGCCACTCGTGCGATGCAGCACTTAGCCCTGTGTAGCTGGCGCCGGCCACTCGTGCGATGCAGCACTTAGCCCTGTGTGCCTGGCGCCGGCCACTCGTGCAACGCAGCACTGCGACATGACATGCCACACCACCCCATGCACCTGGCGCCAGTCGACAGCAAGGGAGCAGATGTGAGCCACTGCATCGGGATCATCGGCGTTCACGTGGAAAATGGGCGCCCCCACTGCCTGCAGCAAGGGGGGCAGAATGAAGACTTAGCTAGTCCAGTGCATGATGTGTTTCACATGTTCAATCACAATACATGATGAAATGTGTTCAAACGCTTCTGCACCACTCAATTGTACAGCGTGATACAGACAGAGGGGCGGAAGAGCTTGCACTCTCTGCTGCCCACCTTGGCGAAGTCAGAGGGGTGGGGGGAGGAGCGAGCCAGCTTAGGGTCGGTGGTGAATCCGATCTGATTGTTGATGATCA